ACTCGTAGGCCGAAAATGCGAGGGTCGTAGCCGTTGCCAAATACCCGCCCAATAGAAATAGGTAGCCCTGCGCTATGATCTCGTCCTCGGTCAATTTTTTATCCTTGATGTTTATGTTGAATACCTTTCGATCGATATCCAGTTCCTCCGTTCCTGGTATTTATTAATTAATAATATTTTCTTTAATTATTATATTAGTACTTGTAATATAAAATAGATATTATAATATTAAAAATTATATTTTAAAATAAATAATTTTAAATCTGTCCCCATGAATTTTAATATTTAGTAGTAGCTATGTCATTATGATGTGAGTGATAGGTAAGTTTTTTATTTGTTAATATATTTTTCAATAAAGTAAAAATTATCCAATATCTAATATTTTTTTGAGGCATTAAATTACGAGTTTCAAAAATTTATTTTTTTATGATCTAGCTCAAAAAGGTCCTCTATCATATCATCTACCTTTGGTGTCACCTACACTTTTGTGCACTTAATGTAACAATTAATCTCATACAAATTGTTTACCAAATTTATAATGTAGTTTTATGTTACTAAAGTAATCAATTTAGTTTAGATATAAATATATTTATTAATATTTTCACAATATTGGTCAAATAAACTACTCCAGCTCAAGTATTTTACAAATAGTTTACAAACAAATATAACACACATACCTTTATTTATATGCTGAACATTTATATCCGTGTCATTACCAGCACCACCATCATCGCCATCACTGTCCCTAATCTCGGAATCCATAAGCAATTGAATAAAATCATTATATTTAGCACCGGGTTTCCGACGCCTTTCCGCCACAATATGTCTAACAGTATCCAAAAAATACTCGTCCGACTCCCTATCCGCCACCCTAAACCACTTTTGGACAAATTTTGGCAAAATGAGCTTGGCCAACTCATTCCACACATTGAAACTAAACTTCTGTCTAGCTAACTTAAAAAACAAATTGTCCCCCTGTTTATACGTTTCCATTCGTGTACCAAAAACGCATCTAGCTATTATATCCAGTACCAATCTACTGCACAAATCTTGAGCATCAAGGTGCCCACCGGCCAGGGAGTCTAAAGTAGCGGTAAAATCGGATAAACAGTCTCTGATTTGAGGGTACATTCGCCGCATTTTTCCGGATGTAAACACCGGCGATACTATAGAGCGAACACGTTTCCAGTCGTCCCCACACAAGTGGTTGAGATTCCGGGCGGTTAGGGGGCTGTTAGGGGTCCACACTTTGGTACGATTGGGGAACAGGTGAAAGTCTTTAACCCAAATCGCCTTGATCAGGTCAGGATCGGCGATGTTGAGCACGGGCATGGTACCCAGAAAATGGCTATATTTTTCGTGTTTACGAAAATTAAGCAAGCACTATTTCAGATATTTGTCATTTGTATGAACTGATAATAAACTTAACATAGTGATTATACATTAAATGAAGTACCAATAGAATAAAAATTTTAGGGACTATACTACTGTTGAATGAAATAGTGTTCACCTTGATAATTTCATTTAATTTATCAAGTAAAAAAATAGTTATAGCAAATACCCGAATATATTGCCATATTTCTGATAGAAATTACGTTCTCTGAGAGGGTTTGGTGTGAGGAATGCCGTGAAATAATTGCCAAATACAGGGACAGGTGTGGGACCCGGTATGCCTTGTTTGCTCCAGTAGTCGTAACCGCGAGATTTATATCTACTTGTTCATAATGATAAATATAGTATTACAAATTTACAAATTAAATGTTACTTTTGTTTTGTACGAGCTAAATTAATATAATTATTATGATGCAGTATGCTTACAAATAAATGTATGTCACAATGAATAATACGCCAAATATTACCATGTAAAACATTGTATTGTGTATTGTTAATAAAATTATAGCTAACAATTAACTATAATACACGCGATTATTATGTTTATATCATTAACAAAATAGTGAGACTTAATTTTATAATAACTATTTAATTTAAAATAGCTTTCATTTAAATCCTATTTATAATAGCACCTTTAAACAACAAGACACAAGTATAATATGTTGCTTCATTGTATCATGCAAAATTTTATTTTAAACTGCTTTATCATGGTACGTCAGTGGTATGTGTAATAAAAATTACATAACAAAATTTTCCTATTATATTTTACCGTAACTACAGTGTGACCAACTGTACACTATTGGGGTGTACAGTACACTATTTAGGGTATTTGTACACTGTGTTTTAAGATCGAAATAGTGTACAATGAATGTACACTATTTGTGAAAATATATAGAAATAGATACTGTATCAGTTGAGCAGACCTTTACAGAAACCATAATACCTTTCATTTCGAATTAAAAAATATGTTTGAAAATACAGTATTAGAGTGTTCAGTACATAGTATTTTATATACTGTGTTTTAAAAATAGTGTACATTCAATCTACATTGTAGTATTCATTCATATATTTGTTACGATTTTTATTAAATACTGTAATATATTACATTTATAATTTTATTGTTTAAATATTGTACATGCGGTACAACAGTTTGGAAAAATTAAAAATTTGCATAAATATGTTAAATATTGTAAATTGAATGTTAACTATTTGAAAATAAAATTATGTAATATAAAATATATAATCTTAACAAATAGACGAATTCAAAAATCCACTGAATTGGTTAAAAGTTTATAAAAATATGTATTAAATAAATAAAATTAACTTAATTTAATAATAAGACAAAATAATAACTTTTATTCTCAATTAAAATATTATTATATTTTACATTTAAAAATATTGTAATTCAAATCCACAGTTAAAACTGATGTACACTATTTGTACACTATTTTATCCACTATTTTTGATTTTTGTACACTATTTTAAAAATCAGAGTTGGTCACACTGTATGAATGCTACACAAACTATTCAATCACTATCAATCTTAAGATTTAATCGTATATATCTCTGTGCAATAAATATTCATATTTAAACACACAGTGAATGAAAAAATGAATACGGCGATAATTAAAATGCACATGGTCCTAACGCGAAACAGGCGACGTAAACATAAGTTCAACGGCGATACTAAACTTCGTAAAGCCGTTGAAGTTATGGAAAAATTCAATGAATACACGTTTTACACGACTTTTAGAAATTGCTATGAATACGTGAATAATAATTGGTCATGGTGGCGATTTATTGTAGTATTATGCTTTCGATTGTCCGTGCTAATAAGTATTATTCGTATTGTTATTGTATTATTTGTGACTGATCCACATTGGCACCCGTGGTTATATGATTATGATCAGTTTATTGGTCACCGTAAATTGACCTACACTATTATAATCTCGCTATTAACAGCGTTATTTGTTGTAGACATTGCTTTGTTTTACCAAGAGCACACTAATATTTTATATATTGCCAACATTGGTTATCTTTTGAAGCATCGGAAAATTTTAATAAAATTGACAGAAAGTACACATAAAATAATTGATTATAGCATAAAGTTTTCCCGTTACGTTTTGCCCTTTATGCATGTTACCATTGTCATATTAACTTTCATCGGACATTGTATACTGACCATTATATTATTATTAAGCTTTGGATTCACATGGTTGCGATTACTATTAATGTTGACTTATAATATACTGTTTGTTATTGTAATGTATCGTGGAATAGCCATGGTTTGGGGCGCATTTTATTTATGGTGGGCATCGGTCATGGTATTTAGGCACATGTTCCAGCATATTTACCGTAATATATTACTATGATAGCACCAAGCTGCTATCCGATGCTATTATAGAGCATGCTAAGTGGGCTAGATATGTGCGCGATGTAAACCACTTTTTTCGTATCGTGGTATTTGTCATATATTTTATTGCCAACATTGGTATGGAGTTGAGTTTATACGGCATTTTCAATCCGCGGTCAACCAAATTGTTAAAACAAGTATTAATGGCACTGATTTCATTATTACTATCATTAGTATTTATCAGCATGGTCATGTGCACGTGGATCTCAAAGGCTGCTCATAAGCCCTACAATATGTTGTTTACGATTATCAATAAAATGACGATTAATTCGGTTAGCGATCGACTGCGGGTCGAGATATTTATGGACCGTTTGTCGGGACCTACAATAGGATACTATTGTTACGACTTGTTTCCGATTACTAGTTACGAGTTTTATCAATACCTATACATTTGTGGAGCTAATTATTTTTTATTAATTGGTTTATTTGAATAAAATATTATCTTTTTGCATGCTAAATTATTAAACCTAAATTAGATTGTTGATAACATGAATTTATTTATAACAAAAAAATCATAATTTTATTAAATATTGTTGTTTATTTTAAATGAATGAATTGATTAAAGACTAGCCTTTCTAAAATTTATTCATAAACTTGTGACATAATATTTTGTAATTTTATTTTTCAATATTAATTAGTTTCATTTGTATTTGAATATTTTGTTTAGATAATTGGGTTTAATTTTTTATAAATTGTTATATTTTAGATAATTGGATATTTATAATAAGGAAAAATTATTCTCAATAATAATAGTATATTTTCCTAGAAATAATATATGGCAAAAATATTTTGCTACATAATTTGATATTTAAATATATTTCATAACCTATTTAACTTAAACAAAAACATTATCATTATCATTGATTTTTGTAAGTATAATGATTTTAGATGAGAAATAAAAATAAAACTGCTCGTGTTCACAATTAGAATTAGTTATAAAAATATTTCAAATTTTTAGACTTAAATTAGTAATCGCAAAATAAGTGTTTGACATTAATGAACCCCTTACTAACCTAACACTGTATTATTAAATAGGAAAAATTGTATTAAATAATGTTTTCATTAATGAAAAATAATATATTGTTAGAGATATAAAGGTCAATTGATGTCAAACAATGTATTTGAGGATTACTGACTTATACCAGTATAAGATCATTATTTATGTTTTATAAATAATTAAGATTTTTATTTAATTACAATTTTATTTAATTTGAATTACAATATAAAAATATAATGAACATTAAATTGAGCGAAAAGTAAAGATTTATTCATTTTATAACATTTAAACATTATTCACAAAATGTTTGATAAATGTTTTTTCAATGAATAATTATAAATTTTTTATCTTTTTTATATTTGTAGACTGAATAATGTGTTTGAATTAATTGTGAATATGAATT